GTGTGTGTGTGTGTGTGCGTGCGACCACGCCCGAATCTAGGGAAACGAAAGTTGCGTTGTGTCGCGTTTTTGAAGATCTTGCATGAAACTTGCAGGGGCGTCAGGCCCATAATACTTACCTGACGCAAGGAAGCCATGGTATGATCGGGGAAGCATCGGTTGGCCACCGGTGTGTACCTGCAAAGTTTGCCCGTGACATCTTCGTAGTTGCCATACGCGGTGCATATTCGCTGTTGCTGCCAGGTTTAACTCAATCTAGAAACAGGATTGGGGCAGGACCCAACCAAGGTCGACGTCATCCCCGACGACAGGCTCCAGCAATAAATTTGAACACTCCAGTGTGTGCATGTTCGTTCCGGAAGGCCCGCCATGAGAAATAGAAACTACACTCCAAGTTACACTTTTTACCCCAAACTGCTTGTACGAGAGCAGCCTCCCCCGGCTGCTTCACGCACAGTGCAATATGCTTGAAGACCCAAAGAACCCAATGTGGGGAGTGGCTGTCTGAAAAACCAAAGGATGACTAAGGCTGTACACGGCCCACCGTTGCTCGCTACATGTTCACGTGGCGCCAGGTACTGTCCAAATGCTGTGTGTCAGCTGTTCGAATCGGTTTGCGATTCCCAGCTTGCTTAATCACGAACAGTTTTAGTATCTGTTTTAGTGAACTGGAAGCGTGGGTGGTTGACCTGAAGCAGCTCAGAACCTGGGATACCCTTGGTAGGAAACAATATGACCGTTTCTGCGATCCATGTCCGTAGTATATATGAACACACGTGTGAACTTAAATTTCGTAGACAGGAAGCGACTGCTTGCTGCTTCTCTATTTCTTGATATTTCGAGCCTCAAACATGCCAGTGGAAGCTCAAAGAATGAAGAGTGCCAATACGGCCAACAATGCCTTCTTCTCACAGCCCGGAGTCCACGTCGTGTTGAGCATGATTTTAGAAGTGGAGTGTCGGTTGCACGCGACATGAAAGACCTGTATTCACCGGGGCATTTGCATGTTGGGGAGGCAGCGGGATGTTCTTAACCATATATTCGGCTTCTGCTGCGCAAAAAGGCTCGAACACATGATCTTTTGTAAAGAACAGGTGCGACCAACCCGAGCACGATGCAAAAGTCGCAAGCAAACGAAAGTGCTACATATTCCGTGCAAGTCGCATGATTTTGTCCGACCACGAGACGCCCCTGCGTTTGCACTGGTAAGCCGTCCTTTCCCATAACTGCTGAACCCTTCGGGGCGGAAGGCGCGCAGGCCCCAAACAACAACGCCCCTGTGTGCTGTTACCGCACGCACTCCTGTAGGACAGCAAGAAACTCCTGTAAATACCGTTGCGAAGTCCGCTTCATGCATGCAAGAGCTGCACACAAAAACTCACAGTTTTCCCAGTTTCGCTAGAAGATTTGGGTAGAAGCAGCCAACTTTTGGCAGGCCTTCAGCCGCGGTCGCGATCATGCCGACCAAAAATTCTTGGGCAAGGTCAGCTACGCAAAGACATGCGTTGCGAAGCTTCTGTGGGCCAGAAAGCCAAAAGAACAGAGGATGCGAAACGAAACGACCGTCAACATCGATGTTACCGAAGAAAATGTAAATATCGACAAAACTGGCATGTCGGACTTGCAGGGAGCCGCATGTACCGAAACACGCAACTTTCTGTAGTGTTTGGGCCCCACCGACAACATTGTAAATACCGATATAACTGGCACGTCGGGTTTGCGCGGGGACAGGGCTCTCTGGAGGGAACAAAACTAGCACGGCATGGTTGAACACCATGACAAATAGTTGAATCTGCAAGTACGACCGTATCTTTTTGCGAACTTCACTGCTGAACAATTCTCCGCTGCAGGGTTGGCTGCCACGTCGCCATGTCCGACCTTCGCAGGAGCATGAGCTGTGCCGAAAGACGCGTACATCCCAGACTTCGAAGATCCGAACAAAGCTTCAGGCATGATTCATGCAACGTTTGGCTGGAATCAGCAAAGTGCTCCAGCATTTTCTGCCGGGCTGTAATTCCCGTCTGCCATGCCATGGAATCCCATCTTAACATATTTTTGAGATGCTCTGAACCGGCTGGTGCTTGTAGCAGGCTTCTAGCCAATGCTTGAAACAGGTTATCTTCAGCAAGGTTACTGCCGCCAAAAATTAGGGTACCTTATTTCGGGGTCCTTATAATAAGGATCCTACTATTTAGGGTACTATTATATTGGGGTCCCCTATTTTCGGAAACCCCTACATCTGAGAACCGGATGTGCCATCGAAGATGCACTCGCAAGGCCCTGGATTGCTTCCAGGCGACGACTCGTGAAACTCCGGCGCTGCCACGGGGTCTGCTCTGGCGCTTCGACCCGTCTCCTACTGCTTGTCCGAGGGTGACCCGTTTGAAAACCAATATGGTAAGGCGAGCTTGTGGAAGTGGGACCCTCAGACCTTCTCCGTCGTTTGACACTTCCTAATGTAAAAAAATCGTCCTGCACCAGGGGTCGACTTTCGAGAGGCTCCGGGCTCTCCGTGCTCCTGCTCAGGGACAAAGCAAGGCTTCCGAAACCTTTCCTCCTCTTCTTGGCTGCTCTGCTGCTCTCTCACAAGCCCATCAGGATTCTTTAGGCTCGAGTTGAAGCCTACTAGTAATCCAGCACAGTCCTGGCCAACGAAGGTCGCCAAGCACCTGTGGCAGCCGGCCCTGGCGTTCCTGCTATGGGTTGGCAGGCACCTCCAGTTGGGGTCAGCTATGTTAGCTATCGAGGCTTGTGCAGAATGTGACGTAAGAGGGAACAGGCCCACTGCTGCAATCGAATTCCCCAAGCAAAGCAGGTTCCAACGAACACCGCTAACTTAGAATGACAGATGACGAGAGAAAGCTCATCTGGGCAGGCCCTTGTGTCCTGCCTTGTCGCATTGTCTCGAGCCGGAAAAGCGAAAGGTCTACGATCCCTGTATGGTCCTCTGGTCTTTGCCCACGATGCTGGCTGGAGTGCGTCGTTTGCACCCTCGGTTCCCAGTCAGATGAAGCAAGCTGACAAAAGCCATGGGCTCTTCACTTCATGGGCAGGTGACGTGCCGATTACACACAAAGTGAGTGTCGCTTTGTGAACTTCTGGCTCGCAGCAGAAAGGAAATTCCACAGTGTCGGTTTCACAGCATGCCCAATGCATCTAGGTATCTGGAGTCACCGCAACTTCAGGCATCTCCTGCATTTGGGAGCTGGCATCGCGACCTAAGGCCAGGAATTCTTCGCAAGCCTCAAGCCTCAAGCAATCTACAGGTAAAGTCCGGCCTCCGGTTGGCAAAAGCAAGGCAGCTCAAACTCTGGCATCTCCAAAGAGCGTACTACCGCCAATGCAAGCTGGACGAAAGGGAAAAGCCGTGAAGTGAGCAAAGGCAAGCCCGAGACAAAGGAACCGTCGAAGCAGATTCTGTGAGTTTCGGGCTTGAGGTGTGGCCTTCCTCACGCAGCTCTCCGGTCAGCAGAACTGCGGGAGGCGTAGGCGACGGCTGAACCTTCCGTCGTCTTGAAACGAAGTCGTTCGCGTCGCTTCGCGCACAGCCATGAGCACACAGCACCGCAGCCCTGGACGGTGGTTCGTGGTGCTCACACTCGGCTAACAACGCCAGAACGACAAACAAGGATGCACCAAGTTCTACTGGAAACTGTTGAAGACTTTTCGAGTGCTGCATGGCGCGTCATCGCCTGGTACCCATGAGAGGATTGTCGCAAATCTTTGTATGGCAACATGGCAGCCAAGTTGCACCCGGGTAAATGAAACCATAAAATGTAAAGGTACATTCCTGAGGCTCTTCGTTGGTTTCCAAGCCTTGAACTTTGGACTTGCCATGCGAAGTAGACCTAAGTTCTAAGCTGTTTCTGGTCGTTCCCCATGCCCACCAGCTATCAGCCGACAATCCCAGCCTCTCCGGGGCAGGCTGTTCCATCGAGACGCGGTTTCCAACTCTCCTGGCATCGAGCGGGGATATTGTTGTCAATGTGCTTGCGCTTTCAACTGTGGAAGGCTTGTGAAGCATGAGTAGGTGCTGCGCGTACGTTCGAAGTAGGAACCTCAATGAGAGATTTAAATTTCCTTATTGGGTCTATTCTATTGTGCTAGCCCTGTTGGACTTAACTACAACGTGGAGCAGGATGTAGAATACAGCTGCTGGGTGCATGTGCGACAGCCTTTTTGATTTCAGTTAACATTCCACGAATCCGAGACAGCTGCATCTTTGAGCCAGGGGTTGAAAAGCCCGCAGTCGCACTGTCTCTGCATTTGCAGGGGCAATGGTCATCCTTTCGACTCAAGAGAAGAAATTGAAAACGGACTGACTATTAGGCTACGAGGATACAGTCCCATGAAAAGTAGTGGAGGCTCTTGAGTGGTGGCATGCAGCTGCAGGTGTGGGCGTGGCTCTAAGCAGTGCGGAGCTTACCTTCGGTAAACTGCTTCGCACATGTTGCAGCAATAACGGCAACCATGAATTTACGTGACCTACTCAAAAATGGAGCTGCCCAGAAATTCACAGGCAATGCTGGTGGGAAGCAGCTCATACTCCGAGACTGGCCAGGCTTCAGCCCAACTGAGGTAGTTTGCCAACTCACGCTTTCGCCACTGCACCACGGGGTCATCGCTGGTTGCATTCTCCTAGACTGTGCTTGCAACTTCGTGCTGAAACAACCCATGTCTACTCGTGCACAATCTTTCCACGTCATCATCGTGCAGAGATGCCTCTCTAAACAAGGAATGTCGCACAAGTTCGCCTCGTCTGGCCCCGGCCGAAGCCGTCAAAGGTTCACTCTTTCCTCCTTCCCCTCCCCAGTGACCCATCCGCGCACTTAAATGCCACCCACCCACCCACCCCCCTCATCGCCCCTAGAATTGGATTCTGCTGCCAAGCACGACCAAAGAACACCCCCTGATTTGCTCGAACCCCCTTTCCCGACAGGGCATTTTTTGGGGTCCTCCCCCCTGGCCCAAATTCGTAGTCTTGTGCACTCTTTACTTGCGGCCGAGCCGTTCAACAACAGGAAGCCTGGACAAGGCAGCCAAAACCGAAAAGTCTGCGCAAAAGCTGCAGAAACAGCCAGCAGCATGAGGGAAAGGGAAAGTCTTGGGGTCCACGGTGCAAACTCCCTTAAGTATCCCACCCATGCTATACCAAGGGGCCACATCCGCGCCGATAACTGCTTTCAATGCCGGCAACCTCAGTAGCGAGTCGAAGCACACACGTGAAAGCACCGGAGATCCGGCCAGTCTAAGCTCAACGGTTGGAAGTACACGGTTTCACAACACCCTCCAATGGCCATCGACGGAGGCTCCCAACCGGTGCAGAGGCATGTGCTGGGCGCAGCTCCCAGTGTGTCATATCAGGAAGAAATCTTTGCTTCGGTCGACAGGCAGCTCGTAATGCAGCGTTGAGTCGAAGATGACGTCGGCTTTTCCAGCATAAGGGAAAATGTTGAGCTGTTCTCCAGCAGAAACCTCGGCTCGGCTTAGTTATCGGACTCGTCACTGGCCTTCCGAAGCTCCTAGGAAGGAGACCCCGACCTTTTGGTTCCACCAGCGTGGAACGAGTCTTGACACCGAAGTGTTCTCGAACCTTTCATAGGCCAGCAAGTGCACCGCAACCGCTTCGCTCTGCTGAACTCGAAGTGCCGACGTAGAGATCTTGTAAGACAGGTCTTGGCTAGAGTGTCCCCTCCCACAAGATCGGCGAACAAGTTTCAACCGAGCCTGCACTCTCAAAAAAGCTCGAAGCCAACTGCACTTTCCCGAATGCAGCGAAGGCGCCGAAGTGAACCTTACTCGCAGCTGTGAACACGATGTTCTACTCATTCTGGCACGGACTCCCTTTTGTCTCGTCTCCGCTAGTCGCCCCTGCTGTTTCTTTCTTGTGATGTGCCCTGTCAAGCCCACCTGGTCTTGCCTGACGAAGGCCAAAAGATTATACTGCCAAGGGTGCTTGTGCATCACGCGCGCTGCGTCCACGCCGCGGCTGCGCACGTCACGACCAATCCGGCGGAGGAGTCGGAATTTTCGCTCCTTGGAACTAGCACTTCTGTGACCAAATGTGGCAACCTTGCTGCTGCAAATTTGGGCCTGAGCCTGAAACAGCTACCGATGAAAGAGCTTCGAAATTTTGGGATTCAGAAACTGTATTTTTACAACCCGTGCAATTTTGACGACGAGGCAATGCAATCAGCTGCCTCCTGACATACCAACTTGCAACCTCTGCCGCATGCATGCGCCCAACTGGAACTCCATTTGGAGGTTTCTGCGAGGCTCCGGTACCAAGCAAAGATTTCCCAGTCGCGATCCGGACCACGGTCCGATGAGGACCTGGGGCAGCAGAGCAGCAATTGGAAAGTCGCAAGAAGGCATGCTGCTCCTCAGGACTGGTGCTCGGCAATCCAGGGGAGTTCGCCGTTTTGCGTCAGGCACAAAAACTCATTCAGAATCGCATGGCCATCGTCAGCCCAACTCACACCCTCGGACGAGGCACCTTGAATAAGGATACATCCTCGAAGGCGGCGAGGAATTTGGGATGCAGTCCAAAGATGCCTTCGATGATCAGCACGGCGCTCTTTGGCAGCTTGAGAATGTTGCCCGTCTTTTCCTGCATCCAAACCGTTGGGACCAAGGGCCCATGCAGATCATGACTTCATGCGTTTCGTGGTCTGTCTCTGTCTTCGTCGGCAAAGGCACTGTGCTTTATCGTTCTTCTATGTTTATGTCTTTGCGTCTCTCCCTCTCTCTCTCTCCCTATCCCTCCCTCTCGCTGGCACAGTGTATGTATGCTCGCCAGGAGTCCTGGATGGTGCCAGTCTTGAAGCAAAACTTCGGGAGCTCCACTGGGTTCCCTGTCATCAAAGCCTCAAGATCCTCCGAATGAGCTTAGACGGTGCAAGACGGTGTGAGTTCTCGCGAAAAGAAGCACTTGCGGTTACCTACTGCGCACGCTCTCGCCCATCCTGTTTGATCTTGTCGATGCGCAGTGAGTCAGGGTCCTTTCACTTGTGTTTCGTATAAGTCATTGTGCGAACTAGCTGGAAGCCTTGCAGCCTGGGTTGATCTGACCACTTTTGCGGTGCGGGCTGTCCCCGGATCAACGTGTCTGTGCTGGCCTGCCAACCCAGACGGGCTAGAACCTTTGCTTCTGTGCAGAAACCTGGAACCCAAGCAGCGAATAAGCAACAAAGGCAAGCTTCTGTGCAAGTTGCCGCATGCATATTATCGAATCCCTACAACCGAAACATGGAAGATCGGGAGACTTTGTGATAACTAACCGGACATCTTGAGCGCGGCGAGGGCGTCATGACATCTGGTGCCGAATGTTAGACCTGGGAGACATGAAAGACAACGGGATGTCAGAGGACAATGTGAAGATGAGCGAGGACAAAACGAGAGAGAGACCAGGTCTGGAAGTCTGCCAAACTCACGGCACCTGCTTCTCCGACGAAGTAGAGGATGCAAAGCATGAATTTGCCAGATCAGCAGTCTGTCGCGGACGGTCTTTCCGTCCCAAGAAATTTTTTGAAATCCAGGAAGCCAATCAGATAATGGGATTGAATAGAGACTGGCACTGCCCGAGAATGCATCACGGCACCCGGATCGTCATGTGGAACATGCAGAGAGAGGGACTGAGAGAGAAACAATATAATACAACATGAATGAACACAGCTGTTCTGATTTCGGAATATTCTCCCCTGCAGGTGCTTCTCCCTACTGAATCTGGGAGAGGAGAGACCAAGCATGGAGACGAGGAAAGCAAACGGCAGCAAGCAAGCAAACAAGGCACTGTGATTCAGTGAATCCCCAATTGACAGCAAAGCTTGTCAAAGCATCTACTGCGAAACGCTGAGAAATTGTCCGCTACCTGTTGGCTCAACGAAACGCCACTGCGACTAAAGCTCCACGCGCATACCTTCGGGGGTGACTAGTCTTGAGAGCCAGAGTTCACGGAAGCTCGCTTCCTGTTGCAAGACGCAGGATGCACGAACATAAGGAGCTAACAAGCCATTAGCGATTACAGCAAGGCAAAGAAAAGGCAGCCTACTTTTGAAGGCCCGAGAGGCCCGTCTAGCTAGAGAAGACTGAAAGACAGTCCGGATGCAGATGTCGCGCGTCCCAAGGAGTGTGGCCAAAGCTTCTGGTTTTCAGGGAGACCAGGACAATAACAGAGTCAACAATAGCAGAAAGTGAATCGAGACACATGCATCGAGTTTCGGGATAGCTGCAGAATATGGTGGCACATACAAGGCAAGCGAAGCATCTGAACGCATGAGGGCAGACAAAAAAATAAATTACAGCATCTAAGTGCGTGGCCCTTTATAACCAAGAGAGAAGGCCCCTGTTTAGGGAATACAATAAAACCCTATCTCAGTCGAATACATGCAAGCACTGTCAAACAATTGACAGCTCAGCAAGCATCACGCACAACTTACCACGTCGTGACAGATACCACAGTTCGGCAGGAAAGCGCGGCAAAATACAACTGCAGCACACAGGAATCCGACTGGGACACATTACGTGGCTTTTTAACCTTGACATGAAGTGACTCAATGAGATCATGGCAATGTGATGCAACATTGCATTGACACTAACATTTCATGATGACCTCTTTTGCATCTTAAACTGACGCAGTTGAATATTTTCATAGTAGTCACAAGAATTCGGGAAGGTTGGCAAACACGACCGAGAACTGTTGCAAACATCCGTGTCCAACTTGCTATGGCCTTAGCCTTATCTCTATGTCACTTTGGCATCGGGACTACTGCATGCAATGCAAACCAGCATATGACAGTATAACAGAGTTTTCATACAGATGTATACGCGGTCGCAGGCAAACAGAGAGAGAGAGAGAGAGAGGCAGGCAAAACATGAACAACAGAAAGATACCGCAAAAGAGAGAGGTAGGGAAGTGAGGGGTAACGTTTTAGACTGTTAAAGGTTTGTTTGCCGT